CAAAAAATTTCTGAAAAATAAAGATAATGAAAATACTGTTATCAGAATCTATTACATTTAATGCAATGATCAGAGAAAAGATCAGAGTCTTAAATCAGAATCTTAAGACTTTTAAATAAAAGCCAAAATAAAATTTCCTTTATTTTGAGGCAAAGAACCTCAATGTACAGCAAAAATAGACAAAAAGGAGAAATTCTGAAATATAAATATTAATGAAGTAGAAAAAAAGACCAAATCAATAAATCAAATTCTAATTCTTTGAAAAAAACATCATTAGCTAATTTAATTTAAAAAAAGGAACAAAAGAAATGGCAAATAACACAAAGCAAAAAAATTTTTTTTATCATAAAACATCAGTTTCTGTACTTCCATGCAAATAAATCTGAAAACCTGGATGAAACAGATAACCTCTTAGGAAAGCAGAGTATGTCCAAACTCACCCCAAAAGCAATATAAAATTAAAACACACCAATTTCCATATAAGACAGACTAATATCAAGGAACCAGCACAGGTGCAGACACACATAGTGTGCCTTGGTGATTTCACTAGATAATTGTACCAAATCTTTAGAGACCAGAGAGTCTCAAAGTTATATGAATTGTTTTATGATCTAGAAAATCAAGGAAGACTTACAAATCCTTTTTATGAAGTATGATATCATTAATACCAAAACTTGATTAAAATAGTACATAAAAATAAAATCATTTAAATATTGTTGCAAAGATCCTAAGTAAAATATTAGCAGACAGACTCCAACACCACATTAATGATATGATATGCCAAGAGCAAGTAGGGTTCAAACTAGTAATGCAAGGATAATTCAGTAATAGGAAACTTATTAATAAAATCTACCATGCTAATAGAACTAAGAAGAAAAATTATGATTATTTCCATATAACAAAAAAGACTTTGATAAAATTTAAACCCATTCCCAGCCCAATCCCATTTTGGTCTTGTAAAATCCTTGACCCCAAATTTTTACTCCAAAATCTCATTTCTATTAATTCACCTTGAAGATACACTTCTAACAATACTAAAATAAATATGCTTAAAAGTTATAAAGTAAATTATACTCTATAATTACAAAGTAGCCTAAATGAGCCAAAATAAGAGACCAGTTGAATAAACAAGGGTACAGGTATATAATGGTGTGCTATATAACTGTAAGAATGAGGACGATCTCTTTGAGTTATATGAATAGATGCCTAGAAAAGAGTATCTTTGGTATATTACCATTGAATAAGAAAGAAGGGAAATATAAAGTAACATAGAGATGGTAACTTGTTAAAAAATAGCCCCCCAAAGGATCAAAAAGAAAATAATAGTTTACCCAAAATAGGTTGGTAGGAAAAAGATAAAGGGAAAGAGGAGGAAGTGACACTTCTGAGTACTGTTGTCCCTTGGTATCTATGAGGCACTGGTTCCAGGGCTCCCCACCTCAGCAGATACCAAAATCCAGGAAGGCCTCTATTCATATAACTCAAAGAGATCTTCCCTTATGTGAAATAGCATAGAATTCGTATATGACCTACCCATACCCTCCTATACACTTTAAATCATCTTTAGATTATTTATAGTACCTAATACAATACAAATGTGTAATTGTTGCACCATATTTTTCAGAGAATGATAAGAGCAGAGTCTGTACAATTTCAGAAAACAATTTTTGTTTTCTGAAATATTTCAATCTGCAATTGGTTGAATCCACAGATTCAGAAGGCTGACTATATAGGTGCCTCTGAACAGTTTAGATGTTTGCATGTTAATGTTTTATATTAAATCAGAAAAGATAAGGATGGGGGACCTAAAACTGAATGCAAAATAGCCAAACAACTAAACCCAGCTATATATTAAATGAACATGACAACCACTCCAAAGCAAGGGTGAAAGGATAACTAATCCAAGTAACTTTTAAACACAGTACCCTAGCTGTATATCCAGGGTATAAAAAGGGAACTACAAACCAATCTAGAAGTTTTTAGTAGATTTATTTTTATAGTCATGGCAATTCCAAAACTATTTAATGTATTGTAAGATAGAGGCAAAAATATTAATTTGTTGAGATTCAGGATTCTCCAGGGCAAAAAGGAAAATACAGATGTAGAATGGGGAAAGCAAAGAAGAACTCTATGGGGCTGGACTAAAACTGGAGGTATCAGTATAAATTCATGACAATATTTGTGTATGTACCTGTATCCTTTATCTAACATGTAGATGATATTCCAATTCTGCTAATTGTTCCAGCTATCTCCTCTACAGCATCTTTTCCCTTCAGTTTAGATCTGAGTCAGCATTACATAATTGCAGTTAACTGTAATTTCTGGAATAGGAACTCTTTGTTTATTACTGAAAAAGCCTAGAAATAATAATTCCCTAGTCGTGGCCTAACAGCTAGAACTTGGTTTCTAAATGCCATCTCCTATTAAAAGAAACTAGACTTCTTTGGGGAAATGGCTAACTTAAAGCCTGGGGCAGGAAAGGTACGTGATGAGCTAGGAACATCTTGTGACAGAAAGAAAGTGTTCAAAACAACAACAACAACAAAAAGAACATGAGGGCAGCAAGCCAATAAGCCAAAGGAGCCAGGGCCCAGGTTGTGTACAGCGCTTGCTTAGCATGCGTGAGGCACTGGGTTCGATCCCTGGCACCACATAAAATAAATAAATAAATAAATAAAAATAAAGGTAGTGTCCAACTTAAAAAAAAAAAAAAAAAGACAAAGGAGCCAGCTTGTAGGATCTTGTACTGACCAAGTATGGAAAAATTTGAACACCAAATTGAATATGTACAGTGATAAATTACAAACTCATGAATAAAACAGGAATCTATGAATTCTTACTGATAATAGATAGGTAGATAAATAAGTACATAAATGGGAAAAAAGGGCTTTTTTTCATAGTACACAGACTGATAAATGTGGAAGACACCTGCAGCTGCAAAAGAATTTTGTATTCATATTAAAAATGGGGTTGCAGGGCTGGGGCTGTGGCTCAGTGGTAAAGCACTCGCCTAGCATGTGTGGGGCACTGGGTTCGATCCTCAGCACCACATAAATATAAAATAAAGATATTGTATCCACCTATAACTAAAAAATAAATATAAAAACAAATCATTAAAAAATGGGGTTGCAAAAATTCATCAATGAATGCTAAGACAGAAAGTTTGATCTGGAACCAGATAAGAATATGGTCTTAAACAGTTTCTCCAGAAATAGCTTATTAGTTGCAAGGGCAAAAATAACTATACAGTGGAGAAATCAAACATCTTGACCATACAACAAATTTAATAAAAAAAAAAAAATGTAGGATACCTTAGGATGGGATAACCTGCAAAAGACATAACAATCACTTCTGTGGTATTCTGAATGGGGATGAATAACCTCTATTAATCATCAGAAAAATCATACTAACTTAAGTTGGAGAATAGTCTATAAATGTATTTTCCAAAAAATGTTACCAACATGAAAGCGGAGGGGAAAAAAAAACCTAAAGAACTATCCCCCAACGAAGAGCATGAGAAGAAGATTAACATTAAACAGAGATGAGAGGTGGGAGGGAAAGGGAGAGAAAAGGGAAATTGCATGGAAATGGAAGGAGACCCTCAGGGTTATACAAAAGAACATACAAGAGGAAATGAGGGGAAAGGGAAAAATAATACAAGAGGGAGAAATGAAGGTCAGTAGAGGGGGTAGAGAGAGAAGAGGGGAGGGGAGGGGAGGGGAGGGGAGGGGGGATAGTAGAGGATAGGAAAGGTAGCAGAACACGACAGTCACTAGTATGGCAATATGTAAATCAATGGATGTGTAATTGATGTGATTCTGCAATCTGTATATGGGCTAAAAATGGGAGTTCATAACCCACTTGAAGCAAAGTGTGAAAGATGATATATCAAGAACTATGTAATGTTTTGAACAACCAACAATAAAAAAAAAAAGAAGAATATAAAAAAAAAAAAAAAGAACTATCCCCCAATAATAATTAAGTGCAATGTATAATCCTGAATCAGATCTAAACTGAAGGGAAAGGATGCCATACTGGAGACAGCCAGAACAATTAGCAGAATTGGACAATCTGCAAGATTAAATAAAATGTCTCAATTGAATTTAATTGTATAAATATTTAATTAACTAAATTTGATTACCATAAGAACATAACATTTTTATTCATAGGAAATACACACCAAAGTATTAAAGATAAAAAGGAAAGAGTTCTGCAACTAAAACTCAAATGGTTTAGAAAAGGAATGTGTGTGTGCCTGTGTGTGCTCATACATGTAAAAAAGGAGGAAGAAGGAAAGTCAATAATAAAAAAATGACAACTGGTGAATCTTTTTTTTTTTTTTAAGAAGAAGGAATATTTTTTTTAACTTTATTTTATTTATTTATATGTGGTGCTGAGGATCGAACTCAGGGCCTTGCATGTGCAAGGCCAACGCTTACCGCTGAGCCATAACCCCAGCCCCAACTGGTGAATCTTAATAGAGGTAGTATGATAGGAATTTTCTGCATCATGTTTGCAACCTTTCTATTAATGTGATTTTTTTAACTTGTAAAAGCAAGCAGAAAAAAACTGTCTTAATTATACTTGCATTTCCTTTCCTTCCCCTACTGTATCCATGAAGTTGACACAAAATCATTTGACTACATATTCATACTCCTGAAAGACAAGGCCAGTTTTTGTTTATTAGCTCTTTGGCTTATTTTCCATAAGGAGCTTAATCTTTTTTTTCCCCCTGAAGTCACCAATTGCTTTCTTTGCCCTTCTCTTAATGAACTATGATGATCATATCATTGTCAATTTTCAATGATACACTTCACTGAGAAAAGAAGATAAGGACATAGGTCCCATAACTATTTCCTTCCAGTTCTCAGAGTTTTAACCCATACTCTGAATAGAATGAATGTTTAAGGCCCAATAACAATAGAAAAGTATATAGATCTTGATAACCGATAAAACCATATAGAACATCCATCTCAGTGGCTAAAAAATCATATACTTACCTTCTATTTCTTGTCCAATAGAAAGTCCAGCCCATTTTCGCTAAAAAATAAATGAGAAAAAGCACTTGAAATAAAATCAATCAAAATTAAAGAAATAATGAAAAGAAGAACACATTCTAAGACAAAAATATTGTATGCTGTCATGTATTGAATTCTGCATCCTCTCCAATATAGTGAAGTCTTAGTCCCTGGTACCTGTAAACATGACTGTATTTAGAAATAGGGTCATTGCAGATGTAATCATGTTAAGATGAGATCCTACTGAATTATAGTGGGCCCTAAGTCAATAAAACTGGTGTTCTTTTAAGAAAAGAAGAGACACACAGACACAGAGAGAATGCCATGTGATGAAAGAGCAGAGACTTCAGTGATGTATACAAGCCAAGGAGCATCAAGGATTGCCAGCAACACTGGAAGTTAGTATGGAACAGACTCTTCCTTAGAACCTTCAAAGAGAGCATGGTGCTGTCGACTTGATTTCAGACTTTTAGCTTCAAAAACTATGAGAGTTTTTGTCTTCTGAACTTTCTTTTTTTTATTATTGATATTTTTTATGTTGTTTTAAGAAATACAATTTGTGGTTCTTTGTAACAAAGCTCTGGGAAATTAATACATAGATTAGAGATAACTTCTGAACATCTGCATAAAACACATGAAGCTGGCCTTTTTACAGTGAAGTTAGCCCACTGAGTAGGATGCTTCTCTATACAATACTATGCTCTTGAAGTCTTTACTATATCAGATATTTCAGTGTTCTGAATATACTGCTGCAGTTAGTTTTACTATTTGTACAGTATCATAAAAAGAAATTTAATGCATGAAAACTAAATTACAACTGGTCAGATAATCTATATGGAAACCCAAGAAGGGACTCAAATCATTACATAGTCATGACTATTCTTTGTGTATTGGATAAAGAATTTTCAGGTATTTACAGTCATACTTCAGCCTCTCCCTGATCCTGTCTAAAATGGCAAGACTGTATAAAGGGAAGACAGACTATATGCAGGCAGGAATTTGGGGCTGGCTTGTTATAAATTCAAAATTAGTAATTACTGATAATATGCCAAAGAACAGTGAGAAAAATAGTTTTTGGCTGGAAATCCATAGTTTGCCTATTCATATGAACACTGGATTTTACAGTGTGAAGCTTAGAAGATGGTGTATCATGTGTAACAACAAACACTCTCCTTCCAGCTTTCTCACCATAGGTCACATTCCCCCTCTCTGCTCTTCATCTCCCCTAAAAAAACCTCTTCTATAAAATCCCAACTCACATCTAGCCAATGTGAAATACAGGAGCATGCTGGTTAGAGTCACATTTAGGTTCTGTACTTTAATCCCAAAAACAGCATTAAGGGATGATACTGATAGTAACTCTTGTATGGGGTTGTTCCAAGAATTAAATGAGTTAACACATTCAAAAGTACTTGAATAGTGCCTGATCTAAAGTAAATCTTGGGGGAAAATTTTTACAAAGCAGAGACAAAGAGAAATGGCTACCTCAAGCTACTTCTGACTACTGGAATCCCAAAAAGTTCTCTAAAAGCTGGAAAACCATGGGATATCCCAAATTGTTAATCTGCAGAAACAAATGTGAAAAGTAGTCCTAATAATGGAGAGGCATCCAAAGAGAAAAAAGGAGAACAGTAAGTAAAGATTTCCCAAAATTTTTGAGTGTTTCAGGAGATCTTTAATAGTTCCCAAGTTAAGTGTTTGATCTCTTTCCCTAACTTTAAATAAATAAATAATGCTTAATTTCTTATAAAGAAATAAATCAATGTTTACTAACACACTAGAAAGAGGTAAGATAGCATTCACATTGCTTAGGAATGTGGGGTGACTAGCCTGAGTAAAATGACAAGTGGGAAATGATACATGCTTGTACCTGTGGTGCTCCATTATCATGTACTATGAGCACTGGGACCCAAATAGACTCCACAGAACCCACCCCCAGTCATAACTGGAATCACAACCCTTCCAGTTGTTGGGGGAGCCTAGCAAGTTAAATTATAGTTTGAGGTAACTACTTTTTTCGTGTTCTTTAGTCTGACACCATTATATTATAAAACTTCTACTATTAGATGTCAATTTTACAAATAAGATTATTTTTATATCATTTCTGTTACCCTGAGAGTTAGCATTAAAATCATTTGACACTATATCTGATGGCTGACTGGTATTACTGCTGAATTTTTAAAAATTAGAAAAAAAAAAATCAAGGCAATAAAATGTAGCCATAGTAAAAAAATGATAAGAATATATCTTTAAATTACTTACATAATACCTATGTATTTTTCTTAAATATGAATAAATAATTTAGAGAGTGATGCTTGCTTAAAATGAATGGACTCTTGTATGACTTTCAAGAATAGGAAAGAATAAATGAACATCTGAATTACCTGAGGTAAGCTGAATGCAATGCTCCCTGGCACCACTGATGGATGGGTCCTCAGTGTAAATGTGTACCTGTGATTGGGAGAGGTCCTCACAATCACATGCCTAAAAGAAAACCAAAAACATAGTCAGTACTTCATATCAAAGAAAAAGAAAACATAATTTCTAAATATATTTTTTCCCAAACTGATGTCTAATGAGTACCAGATAGAAGCATCGCACCATATGACAGTCCTGAAGGAACAGAATCACAGATTTAGTTTCCAAAAACTATCAGCAATTCAAAATGTTTTCCGGACATAAAGAGCACTCTGGGCCGCCAGGCATGGTGGAGCACACCTGTAATCCCAACAGCTGGGGAAGCTAAGGCAGGAAAATCGCAAGTTTGATGCCAGGCTCAGCAATTTAGAGAAACCCTCAGCAATTTAGCAAGGCTATGTTTCAAAATAAAAAGTCCGGGGAATATTTCAGCAGTAAAGTACCCTAGGGTTCAATCCCCAGTACATACATACATGTTTATACACACAGACAGACAGACACACACACACATAATAAAGACCACCTTGGGCCATGGACATATCAAATGGAATCCAGCCAAGTTCTATAGAGTACATCTAATCCAAAAAAATCAACTTCATCACTTTCCACTTTATATAAATCAGAAAACAGTGATTTAGAGTCCTTGATATTAAGTAAAAAATAGATTTCCTCTCCTGAGAATTATTTCACACATCCTAACAAAATAAAGGCAGGAGAACAAGAGATAAAAGAGCTAGAACATAGCAGTAAAAAACAAAGTTAGTGGGCTGGGGATGTGGCTCAAGCAGTAGTGCGCTCGCCTAGCATGCGTGCGGCCCGGGTTCGATCCTCAGCACCACATACAAAACAAAGATGTTGTGTCCACCGATAACTAAAAAATAAATATTAAAATTCTCTCTCTCTCTCACCCTCCTTTTAAAAAAAAAAAAAAAAAACAAAGTTAGATTTTAGAAATATTCATTAAAAAAATTTAACAGACTCTCAAAAGCTAAAACAATAACACTGTAAAATAAAAATATGAAAAAATTTCCCCAAAGACATCAGCTTTCATGTACATATTAATATTTACAATTTCAAAGAATTTTGTGCTAATACCCTGCTCAAACACTACTCATAAATACATATATTTATTTTGTAATAATCTTCTACATTAAGAGACTAACAAGGACTGTTTATAAAATAGAAGTTCTAAATTCTGTTATCCAACAGCACCATATTTTCTTTTCCTTTGTGGTGCTGGGAATCGAACCCAGGGCCTCATGGATGCTGGGCAAGTACTTTACTACTGTGGTACACTGCTAGCTCAATTATCATTTTTAAAATTATATTTTACAGCCAGGCTCACGGCGCACACCCTGTAATCCCAGCAACTTGGAAGGCTGAGGCATGAGAATCAAGTCCAGCCTCAGCAACTTAGTGAAAAAAGGAAAAAGGACTGGGGGTGTAGGTTGGTGGTAAAGTCCCTCTATGTTCAATCCTGAGTACCAAAAAAATAAAATAATGACAATAATATTAGATAATCTTTTATGATACTATAATTTTAATGCTAAAGGTTAGCATTTCTATACATATTGCTTTGCCACTAGTATACAAGTTATTTATAATTACTATATTTTAAGTAACCCAAAATTCAACATATATGAAAACATTTCATAAACAAATTCTCACATTGATTACCTATATTTCAGTTTATTTGTTGAAAGTCCTGTGTTCAATTTAGCATCAAAGAATGTCTAGCACTGGAAATAATGTTAATATAATCAAGTATATAATCAATGCCTCTTAACTCTAAAGCTCAATTAAAATCCTGCTCCTTTGTTCTTTATGTCCCTAGACTGACTTTTGGTACAGCCCCTTCAACTCCTTATCTCTATCAATCTCAGAAGCGTGTGTATGGCACAGAACTTGGAAGCAGGGTCCTTGGAAGATTAGTGGGTGATGTGAATTAATTGAAACAAATTATGATGAAAATGCTTTCAAAGATTCCACATTTCTCATGCATCTACCAACTTTAGTATGTCAGATTATCATAGTAATAATGTTCTAAATAGCTAAACTTTATTGACAGCTTACTTATTTACATGCTAGGGACTATTCTAAGTGTTTTATCTGTGTAACTTAATCTTCACAACTACCCTGAGGAAGATATTAGCATCATGCCCATTTTAAAGATCAGGACACAGAGACACAGAGATGGTGAGCCTGGACCCCAACTCAGACAATCTGACTCCAGAGTCAAACACCTAATAACTATGCTAGCCATGAATCAGATAACCAGTATGTTTAACTCTGTGAAGAAAATTAATAAAAAATTAAGAGTGATATATAAAAGCTATATACGTCTTTTAAAAGTTTGATACAGTAATAATTAAAATGCCTAACTCTCATTTCCTTCATTTTCCAATTCAGTGAGAACAATACAAAAATAATTCTGAAGTTTCCTAAAAATTACTCTTTGGAGTTTCTTAAATATAACTTGCAGGTTAAAAGAAAACAGATACTCACTGGCCAGACTGGAAATCCTTCTCATTCACAACTGCACAGTTGGTTAATGACAATTCATCTGTAGGACATCTTGCAGCTTGCATACTCTATAAAAATCAATGGTTAAGAAGATAAAATGAAGTTAGGATTTATTTCCTTAAAGATTATGTCTTCCTGAACTGTATTCTTCATCACTTGTAAAAAACCTCTACTGTTTTTCACTCCTAGAATCCCTTCTGTGGTAGACGCAAACCCTTCCTTTGGGAAACAAATCCTCCCTCATTTCATGTGGGTTTATGGGACTGCCAATCACAGAACGCACACATATACACTTCTAACTCACCCACAGGATTTTATATGTACAGGCACTAAAAGAAAAGCACTCTTTTTGCTGCATTACCATACGGAGGAAGATTTTCTACTCAAAAAAGACAGTAAAATGGTCACAAAGAAAGCAGTCAGCAGAGACATAGACAAATAGCTATATGGAAACTCAGACTGGACAAAGTTTAAGTCCTTGAAACCAGTCCTAAACAGGTTATAAGACAATAAATAATTTTTTTGCTCAGCTTATTGGACTCCAATCCAATAAGGGGCTTTCCATTCCATCATTTCATTCACAGAAAAGAATGGTTTTTTTTTTTTTTTCCTTTTTGGTATTAAGAATTGAACCCAGGGGCACTTTACCACTGAGCTACATCTCCATTATTATTTTTCATTTTGAGAAAGGGTCTCGATAAGTTGCTCAGGACCTCAATAAATTACTGAGGCTGGCTTTGAACTCTCGATCCTCCTACATCAGCCTCTCAAGCCACTGGGATTATAGGCATGCACTACTGTGCCTGGCTAGAAAAGAATCTTGGCTGATGAAAGTGTTGTGAAGTTAATTCAACAAATTATAAAAAGCATCTTGTTATAAGAGATCCTAAGTGGCTATGAATCATGTCTCCTACAGATTAAGAAAACCTATCTTTTAAACCTCTTTCAACAAAAAATAATTACAAGGAATACTTTAAAAGAAAAACAATTAGTGGCCCTTTTGGTTAGCAGTTACTAGCAAAATGTTCAAATGATGTTTTTAACCAATAACCCCTCCATTGTTCTCTAAGTTTCCGGTGAGCTATGACACTAGGACACATTCCTTTTATAAGTGTTCATCCCTCAAATCTCAAACCAAAGCAGATTATTCTTAAATTTGTCTCCCAAACACAAATTTATAGAATAAGATGAATCATTTTTTGCTATGCTTTTAACTAAAAATTTCAAAATCATCATCCCAGTTGTTTTGGGCTAAAGTGGGACACGTTTACAAGACAATCCTTTGGGATATAAGAAGAAAATACTAGTACTTTATTTATATTTATTTTATATCAATTTTCTCATTTATATATGACAGCGGAATGCATTGCATTTCTTATTACACATATAGAGCACAATTTTCCATATCTCTGGTTGTATATACAGTATATTCACACCAATTCGTGTCTTCATACCTGTACTTTGTTTGGATAATAATGATCATCACATTCCACCATCATTAATAATCCCATGCCCCTCTCTCTTCCCCTCCAACCCCTCTGCCCTATCTAGAGTTCCATCTATTAAGTTCAAGAAAAAAAAAAAATGATTTCAAAAGTGCAGCCAAATTCCCCCATTTTGATCCAGACATTGACATGCAATTAAAATCAAGTATCAAGATAAACCAAACTTAGGGCTGGGGTTGTAACTCAGTGGTAGAGCTCTTGCCTTGCATGCGTGAGGTACTGGGTTTAGTCCTCAGCACCACATAAAAATAAGTAAATAAATATATTTTTTAAAAAGTTATCACTTGTTAAAAAAAGATAAACTGAATTTAGAAATAGCCCTCTGAATACATACAGCACAAAATATTAAACCAACGTCTTAAAGAATGATGTATCACTTTGCTGTATGTATTAATAAAATAAAAATCATGAGATTATTGTACATTTAGTTTTAGCACATCTTCTTTATATGTTAAGTATGGATATATACTGGGGGTACATAAGACATTTTTTAATTTGGGGATTCCTGATCAAATGTTTGGAAGTCACTAATTTAGCATATGAAATGAACAGCCAAGATCACAAGTCTGCTTGCTGAATGAGAAAGCATTTTGCCAAGGTCACACCTTGACCAGGTATCTAACACCCTCCCAGGGTCTCTTTAGCCTGTGAGTTTCTTCCTTTTGTATTCCTTCCCCAAACCTCTGCCCCTTGCCTGGGCAATTCCTACTCATTCTACCATTTTCAGCTTAAACATTACATTTTCTAAGAGGGCTTCCTAAACACCTGCCCTATCAACTAAAGAGATAAAATAAACTTCAGATGGAAGCACCTGACTATATTTTTGCTATCTGCCTACATGTTTGCACTGCATATAAGAAAATAAGTTTCTGAAAGACTGAGACTATATTTTGCTCATATCTATAGTTCCTGGGACTAATACCTGGTCTGACATACAGTCAGTACTCATTAAACACCCATTAAATATATAAATTTATTGGTCAATACCTATCTGTCTCAACTGAAGAATAAACAATCCAAGGAACATGTATGCAAAGTACTGATCATTTCATGGTTATTTAGGAAGTAATACAATTGTTCAAAGTTACATAGAACTGATTTTGCTAACTGTGGGCAGTGGCACACACTGGTAATCCCAGCTACTCAGGAGGCAGATGCAAGAGGATCCCAAGTTCAAGGGCAGCTTCAGCAACTTAGTGAGACCATGTGTCAATAAAGAGGGGTGGCTAAGGATGTAGCTCAGCAGGAGAGGGCCCCTGGGTTTAATCACCAGTACTGCAAAACAAGTAAAAAAAAAAAAAAAAACCAACCAGATATTCCAAAGTAATAAAAAAAAATTTACAAAATGCCAAGTTAACATTTTCATTTGTAAACTTGTTTGCTTGTCAGTGTCCTTTAACAAAGAAAGAATAAAAATCTATAGAAGTCATCTGGCTAACCAACTAAAACAGATGCTGCGAGCAAAAGGCCTCCCTACTGGAATCTAGAAGCATCTGTGTTTTTATGGTAAGCCAAGCAGGATATCTCATTTTTTTCAACAAAGTGTAAATCCCTATAAATAGTAGCTGCCTACTTACCACAGTAATGCCAAGGGAAAATTCCACAATTTTTCTAACATTGACCCTGCCTCTAGGAAACAGTAATAAAAAACAACCACTGTAGCTGTACAAAATTGTTACTCAGTTTTATGTAAGTTTAGTTATCTGAGTTACTGCAATACTGAACTTCCTAAACAATGAAGAAATGTTTTCATTATAACAATCTGAATTATCAAAAATTATAAACTACTTGCTCTCTAAAGAATGAAAATTCCACCAGGCGCAATGGCCCATTTCTGTAATCCCAGCAACTTGGGATTCAGCAAGAGGATCACAAATTTAAGGCCAGACTCAGCAACTTAGCGAGGCCCTAAGCAACTTACTGAAAACCTGTCTCAAAATAAAAAGGGATGGGGATGTGACTCAGTGGTAAAGTGCCTCTGGGTTCAATCCTGAGTACAAAAAAAAAAAAAAAAGAATGAAAATTTCAACAAGCCTTTAATAGAAACTTTAGTGAAAATAATTATATCATTATTTATTGAAAGCCTTGAAAATACAGAAAGGCAATTTGCTTCTGTTCATCAAACAAAATTGAGGGAATTTAGCCAGGATTCCTTTGGGCAACATTACACTGCTTGAGCATTTAAATAACACACCCTTTACCTAAAGGACCACTTTAAAAATTGAATGATTTAATATTTAATGCTTTATTGTTTACCAAATAATGCAGGAGGACAAATTCAACAGAAAGAAAAACAGAATGTGGTTCCTGACTATATTACTAAAGGCTTATTTTGAGTTTGAAATCACTAAGTTAGCACAATTAGCTGCCCCTACCCCAACTGTAACCTTGGTGCATCTGCCAGTCCTTCCTCTGTGGTGTTTAAGATACTGGTTAAGAGACATCTCTTGAGAGACACACATCCCCACAGGAAAGAGAAGGACAAACTACATGAATTTGTCCCAGGGGCAGCTCAGCTGACAATCTCACATCTCCTCTAAAAGGATCTTTCCTAAAAAATAAATAAATAAATAACATTTTAGAACTGCACTTTCTGATAAAGGAACCACCAGACATATAAGACTGAAAATAAATTAAAATTAGAGCTGGGGGAGCAGGGGATCATAGTTCAGTGGGTAGAGTGCTTGCCTCACATGCACAAGGCTCTGGGTTCAATCCCCAGCACCACCAAAAAAAAAAAAAAAAAAAATTAGGGCTGGGGATGTAGCTCAGTGATAAGTGTACTTACAGGCATGTGGGAGGCTCTGGGTTTAGTTTCCAGTACCACAAGAAAAAAAATTAACAAATAATTCAGTTCTTAGTTAGATTAGCCATATTTCAAGTGCTGCTAGTGGCTATAAAGTTTCATGGGTAGTGCTGGTTTAGAACAAACAAAAAAGACCACATGTAATACCCACCTTCAGCCTATAGAGTCCCTCTGCTATACATTCTTATAATACTTTCTCTTAAAATTCTGAAGCCACGTAGGACTAGGAGTGAATGGCATACAAAAAGTTGAACCTGTGTGTCCTACAATTGTCTCTCCAAGAGTCTCTAGGGATACCCTTAACACACCCCATCTTAGACCGATAACTATTCATACAATGAATGAACCTTCTGATATCATTTAAGTCTTTTAAATTCCTTTAATTTATATTGAAAAAGGAAAAAAGTCTTTTGAGTAGAAACATACAAAAAAAATGTAAAAGACTGACGTCAAATATTAGCAAAAATGTGATGAAGTTTCCTATAGTTAATGTCACCCAGCAAGTATACCCCTAAATTTTTCACCTAGGAAATGAAGACATGTCCACACAAAGACTTGTAGATAAACGCTCATAGCAGCTGTATTCATAATAGACTCAAAATGGAAATGACACAAATATCCTTCAAAAGATAAATGCATAAACAAATTGTGATACAGTCATAAAATGGAAGAGTACTCAGCAATTAAAAAGAAAATAGCAGCTGGGAGTAGAGGCACATGCCTATAATCCCAGCAGCTCTGGAGGCTGAGGCAGGAG